GATTATCTATTGTATTGCCTGAAATATTAGTATTTCAAGTTGCATAAATATTAATATCGAAAGTTGAATTGATATCTGAAACTTGAATCAGAAAAGATATTGAAAAAAATTAGAATTAAATTATTGCTGAATTATTAAAATTTGCCTTTATTAATCAACTGATTTAGTTAGAAAATGAAGAATTACACATACAAGTCAAAAAACTAGAAAGAGAAAATATTAAATTTGTAAAACAATTAGACCTAATGGAATATATTAATAACAAGTTTTCCAAAAAATCAGAACAGCAAAAAATAAAATAGAGGATTTAAAAAAGGAAATTAATCAGCTCAAATTTGTGAAACTTGAATTTGATTCTATAGTTATTGTAGAATCTAGAACAGTTGATATATCAAAATTTGAAAATTTGCCAAGTTTAAGAAAGTACTGAAAAATTTAATCTAGGAGAAGTAGTAAAAAAGTACAACTAGTAAAACCAGTTATCAAAGATAAGTCAAAATCAAAAGAAGCAAAAACAGAAATAAAGATCTTAATAAAAACCATTCCTAATAAATATAAATTGAGGATAGATAAAATTTTTTCAAGTGATATAAATAAAAAAATATTACAAAGTTGATACATGAATTAATAAAATCTATTGTTCTACATTTTAATCCCTCATGAAAACAAATAAACAAATGGTTAAACACTTTACATCACTATTAGAAAAAAAGATATTAAAAAGTAAAAACTAGAAAACTAAAAATAAATAATCATTGCTTATATACAAATAGTCGATTAAATGAAGTAAGATTAATAATATTCTATATTTATACTATTTTCAAGTATTAATTTTTAATAAATAATTAAGAAAAGGGTATAAAGAATTAAAAGTGCACAATCATTTATTGAACGAAGGTTAAAGAAAGTTATCAAATATCAGAATGAACTAACTGATATAATTAAAAAAATAAAGATATATTTACTTGAAGAAAGTAAAACTAATACAGAAAACCACACAATATATATATATATATATATATAGTATATAATTACAATTGACATTCTGAAGAGGTATTTTTTGGCAAAATATTTTATGCTAAATAAATACAATATTAATTATAATTACTTATAGTTAAAGGATTTGTTGAAATATTTGGATGAATATTCGAAATTAATTCAAACATTTCAGCTGACTCATAAATAATATCATCATAATTCATATTTTTATAACATAACTCCACCAGAAGGCTTGCCTAATTGGGCATACAATTTAAATTTCATGAAATTTGAAATTTTTATTACAATAATTTTTTTGCTAAATTTTTTTTCACAGTAATTTTTTTTGCTGAATTTTTTCTCATAGTAATTTTTTTGTTACAATATCAATTTTTTTACAAATTTTTTGCCGCAATATCAATTTTTTTGCCAAAATTTTTTACCACAATATCAATTTTTTTGCTGAATTTTTGATCATAGTATATAAAAATTTTTTTTTGCACAATATTGTTAGATTTTGTGCCAAATTTTTTTTTGCTGTATGCCAATATTTTTTGTCAATTTTTGCCAATATTTTTAATGCCAAGTGGCAGCAATTGTAAATAATTAATTCAATCTTTTTATTATTAATTTTTGTCAAATTCGACAATTTTGACTAATGAATATTATCTCACAATTTTGAGCTTTGATGATAGATTTTAATTTGAATAAGTATATAATAAAATAAAATAATTTAAAAAAATATTTAAAAAAGTAATCTCCATACTGTTAAAACTATTTGTCCTTGCCACGGTTATAAGACATGAGCCTTTCAAAAGCTCTTACTTTGAAGTAACTATCTAGCTATTTTTCATGCCAAGAATTCACAAATTGAAGAATAATCTGCGAAAAAAGATAAAAATGTTCGTCATTTTAATGGTATTGTATTTCATATAAAAACTTTATTTTTGTATATTCTATACATTGTTTTGTTCGTAGAAACCTCAGTAATAATTTGTCTCAAGGTAAAATGTAACTGCGGTAATCATATCGTGTGACTGTTAATTAAAAATTACGTCACGTAAAATAGGTGACACACGTGTCGCGTATTAAACCAACTTCCAGCACTGTACTATTATAATTATTACCTTTACGTGTAAATTCAAGCACTGTCTATTGCTATAAAACATGGCAAAGAATATCAAACAGCCCAAACTTCAAGATGATGTGTTTACTGAACGCGTTCGCTTTTTCAAAGAATTCTTGGAGGCAAATGTATCCTTGGTTATTTTATTTTATTTATTTTTGAAATTAGGCAAAGTTCTTAGCACGCGAGTACGTGTTTTTTTCTCTTGCAGTCATAATAAGTAGTTTATGTATACAAATAAATCAATACGCGCCTCGTCCAAAAGCGTTTACCTTAACTGTGAGATAATTTGTTTTCTAGACTGAGGGTGCCACAAGTTCCTACAAAGACGAAATAAGACAATTGCTCGACAAGGGAGAAAAACGACTAATAATCAACCTAAATGACTTGCGGCATTATCATGCAGAAAATTCCGAAAAGTAGCAATCAAATTTTTTTATCTTATCCCGCTGTATTACTTATTTTTGAAATAAATAAATTTTTTTTTACACAATATAGGTTGCTGGATTTACCCAATGAATGGATACCTCCATTTGAAAAAGCACTCAAAGAAGTTGCAATAAATATACAAGATCCAGTGAAACATAATGTAGAAGATCAACGTTTGTATGTCGGGTTTACTGGAAATTTTCATTACCACCTCAATCCAGGAACGTTGAGATCATTCCACTTGGGAAAATTAGTCAGCATTGAAGGGATAGTCTCAAGATGTACCGTATATATTATTGATTAAGATGGATTATTGTTCGGCTTGTAATTGCACAAACGATTGACTTATTCATTCATTATATTCGGGCACATAGGTTCTCTTGTTCGGCTAAAACTTGCTAAGAGTGTTCATTACTGCGAAAAAACAGGCGTATTCTATTTCAAAGAATATCAGGATTCAACTACTATAGGGAATCATGTTCCTACACCTTCGGGATATCCTACAGAAGATGAGAATGGGAATCCACTAACAACTGAATTTGGATATTCAGTGTATCGTGATCATCAAATGATTTGTCTTCAAGAGATGCCCGAAAAAGCTCATGCTGGACAATTATTAAGATCTGTAGACGTCATTTTAGATGATGATTTAGTAGATAAAGTGAAGCCTGGGGATCGTATTCAACTTGCCGGTTGCTATCGAGCTATTGGCAAACCAAATCAAGGATCATCATCCTCAACATTTAGGTTTGATATTTAATTGACTAATAATTGTAGATTATACATTGCTTTTTATTTAACAGCGTTTGCTTCAACAGAACTGTCATTGTCGCCACTAATATCACCATCCTCTCTGGTGATATAGGTCGTCATGTGATCACAGAGAAAGACATCGAGAACATTGAAAATGTTAGTAAAGACAAAGACATAGTCGAGAAACTTTCGAAATCTTTGGCGCCCTCCATATTCGGACACGATATTATCAAGAAGGCTATCTTGCTTATGTTGTTGGGTGGAAAAGAACAAAATTTATCTAGTGGTACTCATATAAGAGGGTGAGCACATGTACAACCTTTTTCTCAATTTTAAACTCTATTATGGTTATTAATAAATGTGATTTCTTAGCGACATTAATATCTTGATGGTCGGTGACCCATCTACCGCGAAATCACAACTTCTTCGACGAGTACTTAACATTGCGCCTCTTGCAATAGCAACAACTGGTCGAGGATCATCAGGAGTGGGTTTGACAGCATCAGTTGCCAGGGACAAGGAGACCGGTAAAGTATAAGAAACTTTAACTCACTAATATTTATTTTATTAATATATTGATAGTTTTCCAGTCTAAAAGTATTTCGGTTTAAAAAATATATATAGGTGAAAGGTGTCTCGAAGCTGGAGCGATGGTTCTTGGTGATCGTGGGGTGGTATGCATTGATGAATTCGACAAAATGACTGACGTCGATCGGGTCGCTATTCATGAAGTAATGGAGCAGCAAACTGTGACTATTGCCAAAGCAGGCATTCATACTTCGCTGAACGCCCGATGTAGTGTGATTGCAGCGGCCAATCCTGTATATGGACAGGTAAGGTTATTTTGAATTTAATGATACACTATTGTAATAACTAATAATTGCACTGGTTTGAATCAATAGTACGACGTTTATAAAAATCCTGCTCAGAATATTGCACTTCCAGATTCTTTACTCTCCCGGTTTGATCTTGTCTTCGTCGTTACTGACACCTTAAATGACACTCATGACCGTGAGGTTTCCCGGCATGTTTTGCGTTTGCATCAATACCGTCCACATAATTTGGAAGAAGGTTTTGACAATTTTTTATTATATACCGTCTTATATCTTAAAAAATTTCTGTTAATCATTATTTGTAAATACAGGAGCACCGATAAAAGAAGAATTAGGGCAAACATTATTTATGGAACAAAATGAAAATGCTGCTAGACCAACGCCTATTTATCAACAGTATAATTCACAGGCGGATGTGAATTACGATGGTCAAGAGAGATCAGATTTGCAATCGGACCGACTCTTCTCACCTGAATTTCTTCAAAAATATATTCAATATGCCAAAAGTCGAGAAGAACCTAACCTAGGAAAAAAGGCGGCCGATTATATTTGCGGAATATGGACTTCTCTTCGCAACGAAGTCGATAGTGATAATTTCAAAGTAAAGTTTTTGTTTCCATCATTTACACCCTCATTAATGATTTATTTTTAGGCAACTTATAAAATTTGTAAATTTTTTTACTTTAGACTTCGCCTATGACTCCACGTGCATTAGATTCACTTTTCCGTCTTGCTACAGCCCATGCAAAAGCGCGTCTTTCGCGAAATGTTACGAAAAATGACGCTTTGGTAGCTGAGCAAATTGTAAAGTTCGCCTTGTTTAAAAAAGTTGAAGAAAAACGCAATAAGAGACACAAGTCAATCGTAATATCTGACGATGAGGAAGATGACGATACTCTTAACGATGACAGTTCATCTGACGATAGTATTATAGCTACTAGAAGAAATAGAAGAAATTCAGGGTATGTCATCTAAATATTATCTATTTATTTTATTTATTTATTTCCTTAATATGAATTTGTTACTTATTATTAGCCGTCGGGGAAGAAATACCCGTAACACTGAGTCTAATCGCGATACTTCAATGGAAAATACATTGGTTATTGATGACAATGAAGAAGCTACTCTCAATACTGGTGCATTTGACCGAGCGGATAGTCAGATTGGGTCGTCTTCAACAAATCAGCCGATGGACACTGATGAACCACAAACTAGATCCGATAGTATTCTTGGTTTTGATACTCTTGATTTAAATGAAGTCGACGGAATAACTTCATCTCGGTAATCTATAATATTTTATTTAGATATGATGTGTGAAATCCTTTTTAACCACTAATTTTGTAGGCTAAAACGATTCCAAGATTTGTTACATCAAGTGACATCAAGATCCGATTTTGATGGACAAAAATTCTTTAACGATTTGCTGGAAGATATTAATAATGACTTACCAGAGGATCAAAAATTTTCTAAGGACGAGGCAGAAGCAGCTCTAAATCTTATGGCAAAGAAAAACAAAGTAATGTACACAGGTGGTATCGTATATACTATTTGATTTTAATTGTACGATCTTTAATAAGAGAGTTTTTGTCAATTTGGTTTAAGTCAAAATGCTAATTTTAATTGAAAAAAATCGTATACAATAAACATAATACTTTCATTTTTTTGTGACCAAACTTATCTGACGTTCAGGGATATTATTGTCTGTTAGTTCAAAAGATCAGGTCAATGTGATGGGCTACAGATTTTTTCATGGGGATACTCAAACTATATTTCAACTTTGTATTGCTACAACTTTTTGGTTCTTAAAATTAATAATAATAATAATAATAATAATAATAAAACAAATCGACATTTATTTATTATATGTATTTGTCTTATAGAAAGAATTATATTCGATGATGAATTTGATTTTATTATATATACTTTTTATGATCAAATAATTAATTTGAGTATAGTTATTTATGTTTTAAGTTTTTATTTCACATTGTTTATAGTTAGGTTAGATTATTCATTTATTAATCAATCAAATACAAAAGTATATATTCATTTAAGCAGTATAATAATTACTATATCTAATTATAATATCAAGTTTAATTAATTTGTCATAAGTATAAAGCCTTTAAATTAGACATTAGAAACAATATTTTACTCAATGGTGAATTTTAAATAAATACTTTCTTAGTTTACATATTATTATCAGCAGGATGTTATTGCTATATGTTTTATTAAATTATTGAAATATAAAAAATTATTATTATTATTATTATTATTATTTTTAACCCGCAATCATACCACAATGGCATGTCTTTATTGAAAAATTAAAAATAAATTTACAATATTTTACAGACTTTCACAAAGTGACTAACTTGTCTTCATACA